ATATGCAGCAGCTGGATGTTAGCTTTCTCATTCTCATCTCAAGTTGTGTTGTCACTGCTATCACTGCCCTCATTTGTATCTCTGCTATGTACTTCCCATTCAGGTATTGTTTCTACTCAAAACCAGTTGTTCTCAATTCAATTTTCGCTATCAGGTACTTGATCTGAATCAGCAAGGGAATACTCATTATTTCCCTTTGTTCGCAGATCATAAAGGGATGTCTCTAATGTAAAATATATTTGTGTTCACCAAAAAACGCAGGTGTAGAAACTCACTTCCAATTTCTCTCTATTCACTGTGACCAGGCTCAGTTGGCAAACATCCTGCCTACATATGTGTTTGAATCACAAGCTGACAATAGCATTCACACACACACAATACACTAATACTCTCACCTTCACCTTGGGTTTTTTTTAATGGAGGTTAAAAAAAGGGATTTTGTATGGTACCTTGAAAAACAACAGCCACAGTGGTGGGAGGATTACTGGAAAACCATTGTGAGGACATAATGAAGACAGTCAATTGTCTTGCTGCATTGTTTAAAATATAAAAATGAGGGCAAAACCCTCAACACATTTATTAATGGTTATATCATGATTACAGAACCACCTTCACACATTAATATAAGTTCACTAATAATAACCTTTTACATAAATCACTACACTTTCTAACTTTCTACATTGTAAAACTGCTCCTATATTTAATCTTTATAGGTTTATATGTGGTACATAAAATAGTTAAGACCATGGTACAAAACTTGGGATTTCCTTAACATTTCTTTTGATATACAGAAAAAGTTTAATTTGGATTTAATTAATTAAATAATAATTACAATTAACATAGCTATCATCTTGATGATAATAATACTACATTTGTTTGACAAAGAGTGCAATCCAAATAATTTGAAACACTAGAGGAGCAATAGAAAATTGTTTCTACAGTAGCCCAGAATGGACAAACCAAACACTGGCTCTAGATACCACCAGTTTCTCCTACACACTAAGCAGTATTCAGTTGGTCTGCAACTTCACTGCTAGATGCCACTAAATCCTACACTCTGGTCCTTTAAACTAAAATATGTATGCATTTATTACATATTTTAACCAACTTACCCAACGCTGCATGTTAGATCCTAGTTTGATTCATGCACACAGCTGATGTTTAAATCATGTGAATGAAACAGAGATGGTGAAAGTGCAAGAGAAATGTTTAAATTAGAGCGAGACCTTGTAGGAACAGCTTATCCTACTTGTAAATCATTGAATTTAGTGCTTTAATTAATTTAAATCATTCATTGCTACCTCAGCATGGACACATCTTGACAGGTACAGTTCGACATTAATTAAGCTGCCAAAGACTCTTGACCTTAATAAGATAGCAATTCTTGAGGGGGTCCTTTAGTTTTCCATGGTCTGCTAGCCTAATAAACAACCCTCCTAGATGTAAAGGTCAAATCTGTTTGAAATGCAGCTGGGTGAAAGAAAAACTATACCTTTTTTTTCATCTTGACTTATGAAATTGTCATTTTCGAAAAAAAAAAAAAAAAAAAAGGCTGCTTTTTTATCCATCTGAAAGGAAAGAGATACATCAATTCAATATCTTGATGTCTAACAGCACAGGCTCTTTACAGTAACTCACAAATCATGTGATACATAAGACCATGTTTCCCAAACATAGATAGATACGTTGGCAGTAATAGCTTTGGCACAGCATGGTGGCTCAGGTCCAGCGCAAAAAGAAAGAGACGAAACAGGCAAACAGGCACCATAACGCACACAAAAAGGAAAATACATGTACAGTGGATATATCATATGTATAGATCCTTTTCCCGGCATAAAGTAGTCCAGGCAGAAAGTACAATGATTGATGTACCAGTGCAAATAAGTCCATATAACATAAAGTTAATGTATCATTTTATCCAAGTTATATTTTATCTAAGGAGGATTATTAAAGGACTCTTTGTTCTTGGGATTGTTAAACAGAGGAAGAGAAAGACAAATCAAGATCTACTCAAACTAATACAACTCTGTGGCAACTAATATAAGAAAATCTAAGAAAGTGTACTCTAGAAGTGTCTGCAGCCATGTTAGTGCTCATTTCAATCCCTTCAAGTTGTGGAGACATTTCACTCAACACCACAATTGTGAACCTTGTGGCGGCGCAACCTCAGTTAGGCTGTTAAACATGGAGGTCTGTACCAAAGTTTCATGAAAATCCATCTGAAAGTTGTTGAGAAGTTTTAGTCTAGACCAAAGTGGTGCACTGACCAACATTATCATTCCTTATGACATCATATGTGGCCATCTGAATAGATTGATTAAATATACTTACAGTTAACTTTATTACTCATATTCCATGGTCATCTTTATTTCATGAAGGATTTACCACATTTGACCCAATGGTGAAATAACAACTGAGCTATTTGTCCTAATTTTCAGGCAACAATATTTGATTCTGTGTAGTTTAATAATGTGACTTTACATCATGTGGTTGTTTATTACATTAACATGTGTACTAAACATGCAACATTGTGTACCTTATGGACTTTATACATTATTCACCATTATATTTATCACTTGTTGCACTACACTACACTACACTACAGCATGCCCTAACAATCTCATTATAATAGCATGTTGCTGCACACAGATACATGGGAACAGAAGGTTTTATGGACAAACAGAAAAGCTGGATCATAGCATTCACGCTCAAAGTAGACTTGGACCATGAAGTGAGGCCACACCACAAAAATAAACCAGTGATATCACAAAGAAAATGAAATGAAGCATGTTCTTTGTGTTGATTCATGTTTTTGTTATGTAACGCTTGCTTGTGCAAAGCATATTTTCCATCAATATTAATGGGTGGGCTCATGCAGAGAGAAACGCCTCAGAGGGTGAACTCGGCCTGTCACAGAGGCTGAAGATGATGCTGTGCCGTGAGGTCCAGTCGGCTGTGAGTGGTGGTCGACCAACTGTGACACTGACAGCATGAGCGTGGGACTGTGGCTAGAGAAGATGGAGGAGGTGGACGTCTGACACTGCAGCCGGTAATCCAGGATGGATGATGAGTGTATTTGCGTGCAGGGGGCTGAGGTGTTGTAGAGGTGCTGCAAATGCTGCAATGGCCTACAGATCATTTTGTATCCCTTTATTTGACCCACTAAAGCCAACTTGTTGTCTCCTGTCACCACCTTCCTCCACTTTACTTTGAGTCACATAACCTGATGTTCAAGTAGAACAAAGTGGAGGACATGAAATCTGTCTTCTCTCTGTTTTGTTGATGATTTGCATGGCATCTTTTTTTTTGTGATTACACATTCCTCATCTTTATGCATTAGCAATTACAAGAGGATGCACCAGTGCAATTTGGTTAATGGACATTTTATCATGCAAAGCAAGCAGCTGTTTAGTGGATTATTCTCTATATATTTCTTATCTTTGCTTCACAAACAAATCACGCATCATCATTGCTGTCTATCAATCATATCTCCAAACTTGAAAACAAACATTTTTTATTAGTTTTTCGTATAGTTTGTTTCCCAAGATTACTTTGTTTATCCAAAGACTTTTCACAGGACCGTACACGATAGATGTTTTTGCCTTCAAGCCTGGAGGTGTTGCAGGTTTACAATATGTCACCATTGGAAGTTATTATGAAAACGCTCATGATGGTGCCGACGCTCATCAGCCTTGTGGGAACTTTCTTATTTCATGTGGCAGACGGCAGAACTGAAGCTATCACTGAGGTCATCTTCTCTGTATTTTTTGTGGGAATTTGGGTGTTTCAGCAATCCGGGAGGAGTTTACGTTCTATAGTTAAAGGTAAAGGTGGATTTTCTGTCCACTGGTAGTGCTACTGCACCTTTAAAATTTGCACATGCCAATTACAGTTCTGTGTTCTTAGACTCAGTGTGGTAAATATGGTTACTATTAACCTAGTCAGATTTTGAATTAAGGTCATTTTTTCTATTTTCTTTGTGGCAGTGTGGAGAAATTGAAAATAATGCTGATATTGTCAGACAGTCATTTTTTGCTAGAGTTCCTGTAGTTGAGTTAATAAACAGTAATTTATTTCCTTAGAAGAGCTGCTCGATTTAAATGAAATTTGCAGAGAATACAACAAAACTAATTCAATTGTGAGAGGAAGGGGGGTGTTGGTATTTCTAAAGCTTGACTATGATGCTGGCAGAGGTTGAGAGATCAAATCCAGTATAGGAATTACTGAAGCCTACTTCTAGTATCACTCCGTCAAATCACACCCAATGAATTCGCCCTCCTCGGATGTTTGTTTCTGTGACCGTTCAGACTCTTCAAACTATCTGGGTGCGTTTCCATCCACTTTTTTTATGTGCCAAATGTGACAAAGTGCAGTGGATGTTAGGTTTGACTGTCACCTTCAGCACTCTATTCTTCTGCAATGATATAATGGCACCTGACTGGAGAATTAGTGCCACATAATGCTACTTCCATCTGTTATTTGTTTATGCAACATTTCCAATTTGCACAAAAAAGTGGGTGGGAAATTAAAATCAAAAGTAAAAAAAAAAAAGAAGAAAGTCTATCATGTTTTCTAGATTTTTTCCCAACACCATTTAAGATTCAACTAGCTCTTCTTCTGCAGTGGTTTAATGTCACCTGACTGGATATTTAGCGCCACCTAGGCTACTGCTTGTCCTCCTAATAACCACATCGTACAAAGCGGGTGCAAACCTGCACAGATTCGCACTTTATTTTGCATATTTTCCGAAATTCTTACTCGGCTGAACCAAAGGTTACTATCATCACTAAAGAGAAGGTTGCACAACGATTAATTAGTGGTTCTCTCTTCTGACCCACCCCACAAACATTAAACCTACATCAGTCTATCTCCAGCATCCTGGCAGCATTGTTAACGCTCTTGCTCCTGGGACACGCGGTCTGGAGTTGTAAAATGGGTGGGGGGGTGCAGTCAAACAGATGCAGCTCTTCTGCTAGAGGAGCGCACAGAGAACAGCGCAGTCCGGTGGGGCGGCAGCAGCGGTTCAGCTCACTTCACACATCTGAACACCCACACACACACACACACACACACACATTCACAGCCTCACTTTCTTCACACACACACACACACACACACACACACACACACACACACACACACACACACACCTTAACATATTTACTCAGGAGTTCTTGCAGTATCGAGGAGTCTTGATTGAAGAAAAACTAAATGGACAGAATGGACGCTTCACGGCTGTTCTCTCTACTGCTGCTCTACGGATATCTGCCAAAAGTAAGTAGGCTTAACTTTACCAATATTCAGTCTGTTATTTTATTAAAGGGGAAACTGTCTTTTATGGTTTGCAGTGAAAGGTCCGTTTACTGAAGACAGTTCTAACCCGCATTAAATTAGTTTTTATAGACATTAAATCTCCTTCTGTGCGCGCAGGACGAGCGCGATAAACCTTTCTTACAGACACATTTAGATGAGTTTGGAAATCATGATTCAGCTTCTTTTACGCGCTATTGGCTGTGTTTTATGGGTCGATATTTATGACCGACAATACATTTAGCTTGTTCCAAAAGTATCTATCTATCTATCTATCTATCTATCTATCTATCTATCTATCTATCTATCTATCTGGTGTAAATAGTGTTTTGCCCTTCGTGATATATCATCTGCTTTGTGATACACATTTTGAAAAAAATCTCAACCATATTAACTATCCTAGTGAATTTAAATAATCTGGCAATTTCTTTTTTAACTCTCCATTTCACCTTTATTTTGATTATAGAAGTTCTCAATTCATTCACATCTGACTGTAAGAATTCAGAAGCATATTTCATCCTTCGTCTGCAGCTGAGTCACAACTTGGTGAAGGTGAAGTTTCCTCAATAGCTGGCAACAAGAACAGTGTGAGCTTCACTGCCAGCACACAGAATAATGGCAAATGACACAAGAAGTCAAAGGATTTCAAATAAGAGACCAAGGACACAGTAAAACATGCATTGGATCCCATTATTGTCAGAGCCATAATCAGAGTTAAAATGAAGTAATTTTTTTTACCAGATCTGTCTGAGATCAGCCACTTTTACCTGAAGTCAACGATCCCTTTATGTTTTTTTACTTGCTATGTGAATGATGATTATATTGGATGTTTCATGCAGGGACCACTGTCGGTAATGCTGTGATATAGGAAATTGGTGTCCGGTGAATACAACTAAGCATGTATACCACCCACTAAAATATTACTACGGGGTATGCCACTATTATGAACAAGTTGTACACAGTCTGGCCATATCCAAATCACAGAAGCTGCAATTTTTTGATAAAGGTAAAGTGTGACACACACGGTGTACTATAATGCTACAGAGACATCCTGGCTTACAAATCTTGTTCTCCAGATGTTTTTGGTACAGACCCCAAAACAAAACTGTCAAAATAATCAAAATATGATGTTTTTACCACATCGTGCAGCCATAATGTACATAAGTTTCAATATATATTTGTACTGTATTTGGTGGGAAAGCCTGTTGAGGCATTGCCACATAATAATAAGTCACCTTTCAGTATCATAGTGCTGCAACTGTTAAGTTTGCACATGAGGGTACTAGATGCGTAAGCTTTCATGCATTCAATTACACAGAACTCTAAAGATGTATCTTGGAAATTAAATGGACAATCTTTGAGTTTTGGCTGAAATAATCCACTTTGTGGCATGATAAGAAACTCTGGTCTGCTCTGAGTTGCCTTGGGAGTTTGGGCTTTTCATTAGGCTTGTTAAGTCCGAGTGTCAGCTACAGTTACATTTTATTTTTCAGAGATGTTTTAGCTCTATTAGGAACGTCAGAAGTGATCTGCTGCTGTTCTCTCACTGCACACAACTCCTGACATGGATTCACTTGTGCGTCTTATCTCTGACAGGCATCAGTGTAATTTCAGTGATCAAGAATGTCAGTGCTTTTTGGTACAATTTCAGAAATGTGCGAAAGAAAATTGAAAAAGAAATCTCGTTGGAGCTTAAGTTCTCTGATTATGATAATGGTTATGTCTTTGGCTGGATTTTAGTCATTTGACTCTCAGTGTGGCTTCCTTTAATGCCTGTCAGTGAAGCTATTTCGAAGCAAAATGGACTGTGAACATCCAAGTGAGTGTGTCAAAATGTCTTCCTCCTCACTTCTGACAACTCTCAGATGTCGGGCCCACCCGAGGCTTTAAAAGATCAACAGATACGTCATTTGTTGACATATTTTAGTGGCTCTTATGGGCACCAGTGTGGGAAACATTTAACGGTTTTCTGGCGTGCTCCTCGTGTCCTTTCCACAGTCCTAGGTGGCTGCTTTACAATAACATACCCTGACATGTTTCATCAATATATCTAGTGAGGCAATGTGGTGTCGAGTGGAGTGCACAAGGGGTTAAATAGTGGCTTTCAGTGGCTGGATTTCACCATTATTAGTTTAACACAATGCAGATGGGAGCAGAAGAGATAGGAGAGGAGTATGGAGTCTGTGTGATAATGACTTCTCCTTCCTCCCTCTTTCCAAACACGAAACCACCTGAAAAACAAATAATAAAGATACATTGACAGGAGTAGTTTAAATTTCTGCATTAATTTTTTTGCAGAGGCTTAGATGAGAAGAATCAATACCACTCTCATGTCTGTCTGAAGTTAGAGCTGCATGATTAGCTTACTGATTAGCTTACAGTATCTTAGTGAAGACTGGAGGCAGGGGCAGCCAGCCTGGGGAACGTAATATCTTGTTTGTTTGATCTGTGCCAGCCGGCATGTTTCAAACGAGGCACCGTGAAAACTTAAGAAACTGTCAGTCCTTTTTAAAACATTGGTTTTATCTTCATTTATTTTCTGCATACACCGAGAACTATGAGCGTTTTCAAAGTTAGTATTCATGCAGTTCAACATCCAGTGTCAAAGTGTGCTAACCTAGCTAATGTTATTTATTTAGCAAACAGCTATTTCCATTATTTTGTAATTTGAGGTAACCTATTGTTTTATTATGAAAATATCGGCCTAATTTAGATGATTATTAAAGAGGTACTTATATGACTATACTGTGATGAAACACATCAATGCTAATAAAATAAAATTTACTTTATAACCAAATTTATGAAAATCTGCGTTTTGTGGGTTAAAAGTGGCCTTCTACTGTTTTAAATCACCCTTTATGTTTGAAGACCAATGCTGAGTTAGAGTCGACCGTTTGGGGAGTTTGTGAAACCGCTGCGTTTGTTTTCTGATGTAAACTGATCGAGATGTATAATTCACTGGAGTTTATTCTAGTTTTTGCAAACCTCTCTACTTAGTAGTTGTTCGGACGAACGTAGGAAACAGTCCCCCCATAGAAACACACTTCCTCTCTGAGCCGCTGGTTTACCACAAAGAAGCTTTTACAAAGACATTTAAAGTGAGTTACACTATAAACAGCATTTTATCGATGATACCATAGTCAGATGTGTCAACCACAATCTCTTCCTGTTTTCAGTCAGCTAGCCTGTGTCTGGCTTGCTGTAGATATTTAATAACAGCTCTCTGTATAAGAACTAGTTTGTGTTTTTGCAAACTGTTTAAATTATTAATGTGTAAATATCCACTTAGTATCTTACTCTTACATTATAAAGAGGCTGTGGGTAAACTCACAAAGAACTGTGCCACAAGCTACTGGAACTCAAAGTGCCTGTAGAGAAACAGTTCCAGCAGATAACTCCTTCTGTTTGTGCACAGGTTAACAAATAAGATGTCCTGTGTCAGTTAGTGAGTTTTATAGGTGCTGGTATGCATATGTTTTATTTTTATATGCATATTTATTTTTAACTTGAGCCAGGCAGACCATTTCTGTCTGCCTCTGGTCTTAACACAACTTAATCAACTTCTGGATTTAGCTTCATGCAGCAGTTAACACTTATTGACCTTCTCATCTAACTCGTGCCAAAAACCAAACAAAAAAAACCAAACAAATAAGTTAATTTCCCCAAATGTCAAACTTCTTAATGACATTTTGAAGAGGCTATTATCTGGCACAGTTTACAATTCTGCTCAGTATTACACACCTGCTGCACTAACTGATGTCAGACTCAACAGTTTTTCAGCACGATCCAAAAAAGTACCCCTGTCTTCATTTTAGTTTGGCTGGAAATGTGTTTAATCTTTACATCGTGTCCAAATCACACACTTTGCTTGCTGAATAATCTACCCTAAGTGAAACAACATGAGGTGACTGCTGAAGACGTATATAGATGTTGCTCTCCAGTGAAGTGTAGGATGGGGATAAATACATTTACTCTGCGTCGTGTGGCCACACACAGACACAAGCTTCTCCTTTCATTTCTCTGTTGGCTCTCCTTCTTTTTTATTTGATCGTTATCTTGTACTCAAACAAACCAAGATTGGCGTCTGTTTCAAATGACAACAATCTTGAAGCAACAGCCCGGCAGTCCTCGTGATGAGCTCTGTCCTAACAAACTATCAAAGCTGGCAGGTATTTATGTGATGTTTTGCTCATGCAGACGCTGTTTGCATCCCTAAGGTCCATTTATCATCTGCATAGTTTGGGATTGGCATTTTGATTCATTGGCCACTACAGCAATCTCCATCGCTGGGCAAAGTGTAGATGTTATAAGGAAGTTTTCTTACTTAATATTTATCACAGCTCAAGTATAAATTAATGCCAGGATCCTTCCCCACGTCTCTTGTATCTTCATAGGTCAGGAAATGTACCCCAAATTCACCCACTCCTATAAATAACATACTCCGATTGTTATTTTGTTATCATGTCCCTCTTTGTGTATTCAGGCTCTATTCACAATATACAGGGTTATACATGAACTAATAAACTACCTCCATGCAATGAAGAGAGCTTAAGCCCAGCAGCCAAACAGTACGAGTCCATGCACTCATTCCAGTATCATGTGTGTTCCCCCCCCCAATCAGGGACTTTGTTCCCGTTTTCTACTGTTTATGCAGTATTAATGGTTAACATCATGTTTGTTTCCAGTCTGGTTTGCATTTTCCAAAAGCCAGAAGAAACAAGAACAACACACCACTTTCATATGATATTAAACTGAAAATATGTTTGTATGTATGTAGAGGTGACCAACAGTGTCCTAATTTTAAGGTTTCTTCCAATTAATTGTTCCACCGGAAGCACTTCTTAAAGCAGCCTGAATGTCCTTTTTCACAGCAGACATTTTGCACAGGTGTTGATAATAATGCTAATACAGCTGTCCCCAACTAAAGATTTTCCCAGTCAACTTGTAGTCATTAATCAAACCCAGTAGTCGACTAGTTGTTGCGTGTTTGTGATATTAATTTCATTATTTAAATACATATTTTTAACAGTCACATGTTAAATGCTAATGGCAGACTCTGAATGTTGAAACAACCAGAAAGGAGACCGATCATTAAGTTTATTTATTTTAACACAGTGTATAATCACACAAGTCTCCACCTGAATCCGCGGCTTTGTCGTTCCTGAAGTCAGAGTCCTGGTCGGAGCCGCTGTAATTCCCCTTGCCTTCGTCGGTTTGTTGCCCGCTCCCCAGGCTCTGGTTCTGGTGCTCATTCTCCTTTGCTAGTAGTGTAAACAAACCTCCCCCTGGTCCTTGAGTACCCAGTCTGGGTTTTGTCAGCTAATAGGACCATTAAGTAGCTAATGGCAGCTATAGTACTTTCGTCCCAGTGACAAGACGCAGCTTTTGGCGATTTTTTTCTTCCTATCCAACTAATAAAAAGGGGTTCGACTAAGACTCTTGACAGCAACAGTTTAGTCAACTATTAGGAGGCAGCCTTAAATATTAGCTTTATGATATTCAAGTGTCCCAGTAAACTGAGGGAGCTAAACAGAAGTAAGCCATCATTTATGTTATTTACACCTGTGCTTTTCCTAGGTTGACCTGTGAAAATGTCTTCAGTAAAAGGCTCTTAAAGAGCTGACTTTTAAAGTTACGATTATCCTGTTTGCAAACAATAGCTTATTTTCAGATGTAGTAAACCACGGAAAAGTATTAAAATATATTTGGTGTTCTGTTTCTGTCCAATATTCACTCTCCTAAATGCTTCACTATGGTCACCAGCTAGATGCTAACTGGCATTTGGTTGGTAGTGGGAGCAAGTAGTGCACAGTGGGCCGAAAACAATGAACCATGAACAATAAATGAATGTAATCAGTTAGAATAATATAAGATAGGATCAAATGTTACAAAAAACTAAAATAACATAATTTTGCATATGTCTGACATATTATTATATATGATCCAAAATATTCTTAATAGTGTAATATTGTGTAACAGAAGTGATTTTCAAAATAACTTCATTTATCAGTTAAATAATGTAAAAATTGTTATTTTTTTACTACTTACTATATTGCAGTGCTGTTATGATGATAGACCAGGTTATACAAGGTGAAGAATATTATATTCTCTGTTTTAAGTTCACTGTGATGATAAAGTATTAGCTTCCTCTCTGAGGGGCTTTAAGACTGAAATCTTCTTTTAAGTGCTCCATTGCTACATTGCCTCACAATCAATTTCATGCTAATCAAAAATAAGGTTAAATAAGGGTCTGACCAACATGTGATTTCCTCCTTTATCCAAGTTGCTCTGCACAGATAATGTTAGCAGTTTAATCTCCTGCCTCCCAGCCAGTGCTGCTGCTATTACTTCAGGATATGTTGGATTTTCTGCTGTAATCGGTTGCAGGCAAAAACTCCTGTGAGCAGAGTTCTGTGGGTTGTGATAGTGTCAGGACGACCTCATCCACGGGGGGAGGGAGCGAGGGGCTGTGTGGAGTAAACATGGAGTTATTACTTGTACTGTATGAACTGCTGTCTTTTCATATTTTCCATTAATCTAGCTGCTGCCCTTGATGCAGTGTTTTTGTGATGCTTGCAAGTCAACAATAGTGACTTTACCCTTTGTGTAGGATTTAAACATGGAGCGTATAAAATACTGATATGGTTTTATACAAAAAAAAAGGTCCAGTATGCAACTTAGACAAGTGTGATGTACAAACCTGAAGCCACCAGTGCACATACACTGAGAACAGAAGAAAACTTTAGAAATTAACAAAATTTCATCGATTCTGGAAATTGGGAGGTAGAAGTAGTGAATAACTTGATAAGGATTTTATGGTGGAAATTATACTTTCTTGTGCAGAAAAACATGTGAGACACACATTATTGTTCCAAGGACCCTATTTGTGTACATGTCCTAATACTTTTCTGTAACTACTGGACACAAGAGATGTCTCCTTCACTGAGAAGTTCATTCTCAGTCTTTGTGTACTCAAGGTTCCAAGTTTTCAATGTTACAGAAACCGTGCTCGTACGTGCACAAGCTCAGAGAAGAGTCGACAGATGAATGTGAAAACAGACTTCCAGTGTCAAACTGTGCATATACGTCATTCAACCCAGTGAAGGTTAAATATTATAAGTGAAGTAATAATTAGAAAAACAAATTTTTCTAAGTGGAAGGGGACTCGACCTAATGTTCTAACCTAAACCAAATGTTTTTTGTGTTTAATATAACCAAACATCAACCACAGTGGTGGCAGATTCAGAACTGTCATTGGGTTACTTTGTGTAATGGTCATGACTAACAGTGTAATTCTGCTAATTCTCGTTGTCTTGGAGGTTATTTTGTCAGTGGCCTCAACAGTTGTGACTTGTAAGGAGATCATAGACTGATCAGAATTATTAAGCAGCATAAATAATTGTGACTTTAACTAGACTAGATTAAACTAAATCCCTCCACAGAAACACAAACATACAGCCTCTCTGAGTCGCTAGCTTACCACACAAACTTTTACAAAGCCCGTCAAAGTGGATTTACACTATAACAGCATTTTATCAATTATCAGATAGTCAGATGTATCAACCACAATCTCTTCCTGTTTTCAGTCAGCTAGCCTGTGTTTGGCTTGCTGTAGATATTTAATAACAGCTCTCTTCGTTAGAGCTAGTTTTTGCAAACTTTTTAAGTTATTAATGTGTAAATATCCACTTAGTATCCCACATTATGACGAATCAGAAAAAAATCCAACCATAAAGACTTTGTGTTTAAAAGGTTTTCTTCATCTTTGCTGTGCTTTTATCAGGTTTGACCTGAAGCAACTAACAGATTTCTCAGTTTTCTTCCAGGATTGTCTAATTTTTTATAAACAAAAACGTTTCAAAGAAATCCTATAATCACATTAGTTATCTACATTATCTGATCCTTGCAGGAATCCTATTCTGTGTTGATGTGTCTGTGGTCTCTTAAATATTCCTGCACAAAAAGATATCACATAGCACAGCAGGCCTGGTAGATGTTGTGTACTTACTCGTTGTCTAAAGTTTATTCTATTCTCATAACATTTAGTCATTGCACTACTATGCATACTCTCAACAAGGCTGTGATAACATTAAGTACATAAGCGTTGCTTTGAGAGGTGTCCTTCATCATTAATGACACAGTTTGGTGTGTTTGTCTCGTCTGAGGTGAGCAGTGCACTACAGACTGGTCCTTCAGGTGAACCGGGAGCTCACTAAACAGAGCATTTGTGGATGATTAATGAGGATCATTTCATGTTTGACAGCACCTGGGTGGTCAAGGCTCATGAAACAGACATCTATAAGGTCCAATTAGAGACTGAGTACAATTGTAAATACATTAAGTGCTTCGTGCTGCCTCGCTCCTCTCATCCTGACCTTTACTGCATTGAGTCTTGTAAGCACTGTAGCTTCAGTGGCAGGGGTGCAGGGTGAAGCGCTTCCCTGGGAGTTCATGAATACACTCTGCCTCATGCCGACTTCTTCTTCTCTCCCCTCTCTCTCTTCATCTCCACTGACCTTCTCAAGCTCCTCGCTGCTCGTCTTACACATTTTCATTGACCCACCGGCTCTCTGCCAGCGGCTGTCAGCTCGCATTTTTCTGCCTTTGTTGACACAGATGAACAATCGCAGTAGATTACTCAGTGGCTCCCGTCTCCACTTCCTAATCCATTTGCATGATAGCATCTATTTGCCCTGCAAGAGGGAGCTCTATTTGGTTTCAGACATAGAGAACATTACTGTGTATTTATTGTATTATTAGCCGAGGGTACATACTTTGGCATAAAAGGCCGTAGTTGCGGGAATGTGATGAAGGCAAATGCTAACTAAAATATTTACTAGCACATATTCACTGGAATGTAACCTTTCTACCGGCCTCAGCCTCACTGAATATAAATGATTTCAGAGTCTAATTGCAGTGTGACGGAAGCATATCCGATTCTTGACACACAAATGTGCTTTCTGCCTCTTCCTCAGGTGTTATCGGTGCAGATGTGTGACGTGATGAACGAGATCGAGCTGGAGAAAGACCGCTGTGAGAATAACACCTTGGGGAACGTCACTTCAGGTCATTCACAAATACATATTTTCCTCTCTCTGGCTGTTCAGGGTGTGCAAGAGGCTATTTAGAGGAAATGGGAAACAGCATCAGTGAATAAATAGAGAGGTAAAAGGTAACACAGTGAGGGAGTCTATAGATGAAGCACCATTATAGCAAGCAGAAATACAGGCCAGAGTTCCTCCAGAGACATAGTTGAATTATCCTGCCTTTATCTCAGATTACTCTTTCAATTACCTCACAGTCTAAGACAAAGAAGCCATATTGTAGTCAGAGTTGTAGGATGGTAACAGTCTTGAAGGAGTGATTAATTCACGCATCTGAAAATCAGCCAAAGTGAGGTGTGTCAGGGCTTTTTATTTTCTCCATCATTTAAGTCTGACGATCTCAAGTCTGACCCCAAACCAATTTCCAAACAAGGAGAGAGTGTATAACTCCAGTTTTAACCCCCCAGAACAACACTGTTTTTTATTTGCATCTGATAAGATTTATGCCATTTATAGAGTTCTCTCTATATAGTATATAGCCGATGAATTAAGGTCTTACACAACTTTGGGGTTGTGTTTTTACTTTTTTTGCCTAATTAGACATTTTCTCAAGACTGTGTAGTTGTGACTTTGCTTGATTGACACCTCCCATTTTACACCATTTTTATTACTATACAGATTGTGGGTGACGTCTGTCCAAAATCGATACCTCTTTAGCTCATAATGAATTAACAGACACTCAGTAGTTTGTTCTTTAACTCAGACAAAATACTCACATTTTTAAATTCAGCATGGATGATTCAACGTAAGGATATCAGACCATAGATCCTCTTAAAAATAATAGAAAAAGGAAGCTCCTCAAAACTTTAGAACTTGCCTGATCAGTCATCACATTTTTAAGTTTTCTTCAGTATTGAAGTTATTGAGTGATTGTTGCCTGCATATCCATGGCTACATGGCGAACACCAACTGCTAACAGCTAATTCGGCATACTTTCAATGGTGCCAATTTGGCAAAATGTCACTCTGAGAGAGTAGAGAGAGCAGAGTCAGAACCCCTGACATTTTGCCTGCTCTCTAGTGAGCAGTAAATGGACACTTATGGATCATCATCATTTTACATCATCTCTGACAGGTGTTGTTGGTCCTGACCTCCCTGTAGCCCTAAGCAAAATCCTGCTAACAGTCCCTTCTACCTGTAAACCATTTGCCACACAGTCACACCTTCCTCCCCAGTGCTCCCACTACAAGTCTCTCTCTCCTAAGACTAAGTTGACCTCTTAACATGAACAGAAATAAGAAATTGTAGAAAATATATAATGTAGAAAATAAATAGGTTTTAGCTCTGCTGCCTGGTAATTAGCCCAGTCCTCACAATATTATTAATTATTATTAATTAGCTTTGGCTATATGATGTAAACATAAGCCTATGGCCACAGCTTTATTTCTCAAAATAGCTACACCAGGCCTCTTCAAACTGGTTCCCCAAGATATAAATATTCTTGCATAAAAAATACTATTTATACTAAAGCTTGGCTGAATACTTGATGGTTATAATTTACTGAGAGATGTGCATCAGTATTGCCAACAAGCACATTAAGTTAATGTTACTGTTTAGTCATATTAACCAACATCAACCTTTAGGGAGGATTAACTCTCATGGTGTCTCATTTTTGTGACCAGGAGGATAGTTCGCCTTCATCCTCTCACTGAAGTTCTCAACACTGACACCTGCTTTGACACAAGGGGGATATGATGCACTTGAATAATTTGCGGGTCCCTGCATGGGCAGCTTTCGTAGCGAGCTAATGGGCCGACTGGCTCTGGGTATAGTGTCGCACAGAATTAATATTCACTATATATAAAATGCAGCATATTGCATTGTGGGATTGTAAGCAGAAATTAGTGTCAGTGTTAGTTTTTATTTCATAGTGGGAACTTTTGAGGGTACTTTAGTTCATAAAGTTCACACTCTGAATTCTGACACTGAATTTGGACACTCAGTTAACATGTTGGACAGTAAATATATAGTGCACTATAGGGAGTTATTTTGGACATCTCAGCAAAAGCTCCACCCATCTTTTCACAGCCTGAACAGAGGTCTAATCAGCCAGAATAACTAAAAACAGTGTGCAGAGCCATTAATGTGAACAAGCGTAAAACGTTTTCATCATGTACATGACCTTATAAGGTTAAAGCATAAAAATAACCATGAATGAAGTTATGATAGGTTTTTACCCAACACTGCCACTCACAGTCATGAAAATACTTGAGTGAATATATACACACACACACACACACACACACACACACATATATATATATATATATATATATATATATATATAATGTACAGAGTCCGACCTCCACTCAGAATGAACATGAGATAGAATATGAATATGGGGGTTACTGGGCAGAAAATTACATCCATGCCCTTCTACATGTGCACCAAATAAGACTAAAATGAATATTTAAGCTTTACTCTGGCCCACTGAAGTATGGTTTGTCCTCTAAAGTCCTGTGACTTTAAGAACACAGTGAATACCTATATTAACTGTGCGCTATCTCCATTTAGTCTAATTTTAATAAAAAATCACTACACATACTGTACATACTGAATAGTGCATTAAGTTAATATACGTGAACTACGTGCATGGAAACAGCTTTGTTCCTTATCTCTGCAATGACCCTCATTTCTCTACTTCCCTATCTGCTTCCTCAACAGGAAGGTACTGGAAGCTGCTCTCAGAGGTCACATCTCTAATAAATGAATTAGCAGTGTGTGCATTTGTGAGAGAAACCATATGTTCACAGCCTATGGTTATGCAACATATTAAATACAGAGATTGTCAGACAGTGAAACAGAACAGGAATAAAAATAAATATCTCTTGACAGTTTGTGTATTCTGGTGTCCAGCACTGCACACACACACTGTTACAAAATGAGTTAATGGTGTCCTGAAGAGGCTGTCTAGATAGAAATTGTGAAGTTTATAACTGTACTTCCATTGGGTTTTGAACTTCAGAGGTCTATGTCTCAGAAATGCTTCATTGCTTGACTTTTTGTTATTTCATACCTTTCTGAGGCTTCACTCATGTGTCACAAGTCTATTTACTGTGCTGCTGACCTACCGTACACTTTCACAGTAAAAGGTTGTGACTTTCATTTCAAACATAAAGAGGAAACTGAAAAACGTGTGTGTGATTGAAACAAAACTTGAAACAACTGTTCCAAGCTGCAGAAAAAGAATAATAACACATACAAACTTTGCTGAGCTATTAAAAGGACCCTTTCAAAAAAGAATTGAATGGATGAAAATACAACAGTCACAACAAAAGAAGTACAGTATATTTTGGAGATACAAGGACAAAGACTGTAGGGGAGAAAAAAAATCTCAAAATATGATTTTTATGCTTGGCTGAGGTGGAAAAGTTGTGCAACAAAGTGCAATTGAAACAGTGATTCAGATTAAATCATAACTTACATGAAGCATGTGACTTCCACTGAAGAGAGGAAACCATCAGATCTGTGTGGAGTGATTAGGATACTATAATGCTGCTCACATTAATACATAAAACAAACATAAATTACATATTTCTGTCGTGTTTTCTACATTGTTTAACACCATTTCCTCTGCAATGGTTTAATGGTATCTGACCGGAGGATATCTCAACAAACCAACTAATCGCATAATGGTTGTGGTTGGTAGTGATTTTCTCAAAATTCAGTTAAAATTGGTGCTACATTTGGATGGAAACCTAGTTATTGATAGGAACAAGGCCCAGAGAAATTACCAATTTGAATCTGTATTTATTGTTATAAATCAATATGAAATCAGGTAAGATTTATCATTGTGTTCCTATCTTAATAGTTAAATTATTGCAGCATTTAAAGAATAAACTTGTATTATAATTATTTATGTTAAAAAGGATAAACTAAGAATGTATAATATAAACCAACATATTCACATTCAGTATCTATAATAACCTTCCTCTCCCTGAATTAAAGTTATATTGGTTATATTGTATTAGAATTGACTAAGCAGTCACTCCACTGCATTCATTGTGTCATGGGTGTCATGTTAAACACATGATTTAATTTAGTCATTATGGTGTGTGTATGTGTGTGTGTCTGTCACAATATGAGTGATGCCGTGTTAATAGTATTGTCTCCTCCTGGCAGATTGCCATGGCATGTGGGATATCATCGCCTGTTGGCCCCCAGCCAGAGTCGGAGAGGTGGTTACAATAGCCTGCCCCACTTACTTCAGTTACTTCAGTGATCAGCACAGAGGTAAACACATCTTCCTTCACTTCATGTAAATACAACATGCATACAATATATAGTTTCCATTTCATGTTCAGCCTCAAAACTATCATTTATTTATCAAAACTGAATAAATGTACCAGTGAAATGTCATGTTGAGAACATCATTTAAATATCTCCAGTCATGTTGTATTAGTGGAATAATTAATTTTAAACCTACAGGTGCCAGAACACGACCTTGTGCTACCATTTTGACAGTAGCTCAAGGCTGACATACATGACAGATTTATAGATTTTCATTTATTCACATTCTTTCTCCAGCTGTGAGTATCTTGATATTTAAAAGTGTATTTGCATACAGTCAAGCCTTTGGGTAGATACTGAAGATGAAATGTGTTTCTTGCATGCAAATGGACATTGGAATTCATCAAACTGGTGGATTTCACCTCCTGAGGACAGCAGATATTTATTAGAAACCCTGCAGAAAGCCCAAGGCCAACAACTTGCAGGAAAAGTGGATACTGATTCATGAGCCTAATAAAGAGCATCATTACATCGTTGTTATTTACAAGACCTATCTCTGAAATGTCAGAACTTTTTACATTTGTGTAATATTATAGAAGGAATTAACAGCTGGAAACCTCTATCCAGAATAGTTTTGACCCTGTGAACCAGCTGTTTCAGATAGATGTTAGGGATACGCCCGGATAAAAGTTAATCCAGGTTACTGTAAAGGGTATGCAGCGTTTACATGAGCCAAATGAAAGACCAGATCTAAAATGTGCACGTAAACTCAGTCACAGATTGCAGTCAGGGTCTAAGAAAACAATCCAGCTCATCTACTTAACCTTTATTTTGGAATGAGCACAGACAAAGAGGGAGGAAGAAGAGAGATGATTCAGAAGAGAGACATCACCAAATTTTAGTCAAGGTTCTTGACAACCATCCTCTTCAACTCTGTTACTTCATAGACAGCGTTTTTTTTTTTTTCTCTCTTCCTGATCCATTTTAGATCGCTTCTTTCTAAAGGTGCAACTCAAAACCTCCTACTCAAGACCTCATATGTGTCTTTTTTTGCAATCTTGTCTTTGCTTGCTAATTTTGAGCCCTTTGATTTTTTGGATTTTTCCAGTTGCTTACCTTCTTTCAAAACATTGTGTCCTTGTTTGATGCTCCTGCTACATCAAACCATTTCACTTCCTGATTTTTGAAGCTCTCAGTCTCAATACCTGCACTAGCATTGAGACATCAGACCTTTTAGAGATGTTCTGATACCATTTTTCCTTCTTCATACCGATTCAAACATATTGGCCGATACTTAGTACTGAAGTTTAAGGTTGTTGTTTTTTTGCCTTACTGTAGACTTGAATTCGAAAATTGGGTTATTAAATTAAACACACATCACAGGTGGGTAGACTCAGCATGAACACCAATTTTGGATATTTTCTGTAATGCTGCCTGACCCAAACCTTTTCCACTCTCAGAGAGTCATTCTCAGATGACTGCTGATGGATATCCACTCTTTCTTTTCAACACCTCTGGGCGATTTCCCTCCATCTTTTTACCTGCTCCTCTTGTGCCTCTCCGTCTGTGCCCCAGCGAGTCAATGCTCATTCTTGCCCCCTGACTGAGAGATGTAATATCTAAGTATTGGAGATGGGGCTTTTACTTTAGATAACCACTGCCTTTGAAATCACTGGGAAATGTGTAGTGCATAGACCACATTCAGAACCCCAATGAGGTGAATATAATGCTAACTTAGGTATCTTGCCGTTGAAATGGATTTCAGCAGGTTCTCACAGATAGAAGGACACATTTGTTTCAGACTTTTCAGTTAATGTAGAAATTCCCTGCCATCCTTTTCCACTTATACTGTACACATCGATGTTAACATCTGCTGGTTCTCACAGTAATTCTTTCAAGACTGACTCTTTTTCCACCTTCCGAGACAATAAAATGGATCATTAATCCTCAATTTCTCCCTTCTACCTTTGTCGCCCCTTCCTTGTTTTTCCCTGAATCCTGTCAGCATTCCCATGTTTCGCCTTTCACTTTGATCTTATAGTGGAAATGATGAATACATACTATAAACAAACATATACATACCATGAATTTGCTGTTAACAGATCCCCTGGCTCTATCCAAAGGTAACAAATCATCTGTCTAGGAGCACCTCTAAAGCTTACTTGTTTTTTTAATTAACACATATTATCTTTTGTTACCTTTGAACAGAGTCAGACTAGCTGTTTCCCCCTGTTTCCAGTCTTTATGCTAAGCTAAGGCAACAGGCTTCATATTTAACACATAAGTGTGGTATTGATTTTTTCAATCAGCAAGACAAGAAAATGTTGAAACATTCCTCTGCATTTCTTTAAAAGGATTATTAGGCGTAAATCTAGACAACTGATTGATGACAGCCGAACAAACTGTCTCTTTTCATGCTCTGATCATTCATCACAAAGTTTTAAAAGTTTTTACTTCAACGGCTCTAATTTCTTCTAATTCTTCCTGTACCCGAAAACCTCCCTCAACCTGAAATGCTGCTGTTGCGTACTTTTGCATATTTTGTGGGTGTGAAAAAAGCCAATCCATCACCTCTTAAACAGCCAGTAAAATCTGTAATATGGTCTACCTGCACTGAACCATTGGTGCATGCTAACGTGTGATATATATATTTTTTCCTTCTGGGAGTGTTGCTGCACTCATACAGGCATTAGCACCCCAGAGAGTCAAACTGCAAATTAGAGACACAGAGAAATCTGACACTTCAGAGATGGAGGACACACTTCAAACCCCACATGTATTCATGGCACCATGAAAGATGTTCAGTTTGAAGGTGATGGGAAAAAACTGAAAAATTTAGTAATGCTTTGACTTGTGAGGTGAAAATAACCCACCACAGACGGGTAAAAGTAGACTAAATGTTGAATATTCATTAGAATAATGTCAACAAATGTCTTTTTGGAATACTAATTCACAGCACTTGACAATTCTTAATTTCTCTCTTAATTTAAATGTATTACTGGTAGCTTAATTTCACCTTGAGTTCAAGTTTTAGTAAATTGAACTGTGATAGTAATTTGCATTTGACATATATCATTATCAATAGGGGAATTAGAAGGGCACTCAGAGGCACAATTGCCACTCTAATATTTGATCCCAGTATATCTCTAATAAGAAATTTAGGCTTCAATAAGACATACTTTTATGCAATTGGAAGCCATGAAAGCAAATGCTGTTCTTCCTGTTATTAAAGTAATGTGTTTCTGATTCCTCTTGTCTCGAGATACATAAATTCATAGTTCTGACCTTTATTTCCCACTGAGGCAGAACTGAACGATAAATGACATCTGCTTAGTTTGTTGTATATCATCAACTGAAATGGGCCGTGGAACAACTCATAACAGATCGTTTATTTAGCGTGTTTGGTATGATTTTGTGTTCTGACATTAGCATTTATAGTGCAGTTTTTGATGAATGACGACACTTGTCAGAAGAATCAAAGCAAATATACGTGGTCACAGCACCGTCCATGGACAGAACCCATCATTTTCTTGCCAAATTATTTAAAACATTCAAAAATTCCAAGTGGATTGTGCAAATGTGATTAAAGCATATAAAGCTGTTGTATTAATCTTTAATGGGAAATACACTCAATCAGATCAGTTAACCATGGGAGGAGTTGACTAAGGCACAAACCAACACAGAGATGAATAATATGTGTTACATATATTGGTAAAATACATATTTCATTGTATTTTATTATTTGCAAAGACAGCTAACAATGTTGTATAGTATTAAGTTTGTTTTATTAATAAGATCTCTTTTGTTTAATGCAGACCTGGTTCTCTTTAATGGGTCTGAAGGGTCGGTCCGGGGGATTTATAAAGCTGTCAAATGTGAATCCATCCTAAACAAATGAGCAGGTGTTCGGATGCAGCCAAATAGTTTAATAGTTCCACATGAACTCTTTGAAAACAGACGTCCTTTTGTCTGACTAGGTGGTGTAGGCGTCTTCAAACAAGCTAACGTCATTTCGGAATGAAAATCTCCTTGACTTTCATACACTCGGAAAGTACAAAATATTCATGACCTTTTCCTGATATTGAGTTGCAGCTCTTTCGGCACAACCCACATCTTCACGATGATTAACTTTTCTATCTACAGCTCCTCCTTTGTGATTGCTTCACCTTTAATAAGGAAAATCAATGAGTTACCTTGATTCACCTCGTCTCTGTGTTTTATAAAAGGAAGTTTTCACATTCAGGTGCAGTAAAACATAGCAACGGCTCAGACAGTTAAAACCATCTTTCTGCCCAGTGTTGTCTCAAGTACAAGGTCATGTTAAAGCACTTCTAGAGCCTCTCTTTTTTTAACATGTGACAACAGCATGGTTATATTAAGCATCCATATAACCAGGCCTCTGTCCTGTGGGACCAGGGAAAGACCTGCTGTCTTACCCTCAAATCATCACAGCTGCTGCTGTTCAAGAGGTCAGAGGTCCAGAGATAGCCAGTAGTCCACCCACTGCCAAAACACACACACACACTAGAGGTGGACGATGTATATCGTTTGCGATAATATCGTCATTGTTGTTTTGACAATGTGCAAATTTCCATTATCGAGTATTTAAATTACTTCACCAAAAATATTGAAACGCATGCGGAAACTCCTCACATCCACTTAATACACGGTGCAACAATGCTCTCTACAGCACGTCTCGCTAGCATCCTCCTTGCAACAGTTTCGCAGCGCGTTGTGATGGTAGAGAGAAAATGCAAGCACCTCCAGTCCCTGAAGCTACTGGTACTTCAGTTGATTTAGTGCCGAGACGTGGGTCTACCTCTCTGGCATGGAAATGGTTTATTTTCGAAAATACTTTTTTAGCGCAGTGGTCCGAACACTTCAAAGTTGAAATCTGTTCCACTTTTAACACTGCTGGGCGCTCGGAAAATTAGTTTTGGTGGACACAAGCCCTAACTCAGACTTTACTTGCTATGACTTTTTCTATGACTTTTTTAGTGATA